CGGAGGGTCAGTGCTGAGGGAGTGGGCACTGTTGGAGGGTCAGTGCTGAGGGAGTGGGCACTGTCGGAGGGTCAGTGCTGAGGGAGTCACTGCCTCAGAATGGAAACATTTGAGGATAGCCAGTTGCATGAGCTTGCTGTGCACTGAGAACAACAGTGCAGCAGCGAGTGGAACACAGACACTGCAACGTGAATTGCTTCCTGGTGCTGGTCAGAAGCGATGAGTAATTGCCAGGCTGTGACCTCGTGTGAGAAAGAGCGGGGAGTGGGGGTGGGGAGGGTGGAGGTGTTTTGAAATGAGCCGACGTGGGGCCAGGCCTTCAGAGGAAACCCCACTTTTCTGGCACAGTACCAATTGCTCTCAGAGTTTCCACTGCGGTTTCTGCAGCCGAGCTCCCATCTGCGTCAAAGTTTTGACAAAGGCCAGCCTTTGTGTCTCTGTTTTCTGTTTGATTTAGTCCCTGCACTGTCTTACTTAACCCTTCACTGACTGGAAACCTGCCGGGTTGTCACTTTTACCTCTGAGTGCCTGACCTCTCTTTCTTAGAACACAGACATGCACACACAGACACGGACACGCATGGGCACAGGCACACACACACACATGCACAGGCACAGGCACAGGCATACACACACACAGGCGCGCATGCACATACATACACACATACACAGGCGTGCACGCACATGCGCGCACACACAGACACACGCACGTGCGTGTGCACACACACAGGTACGCAGACACACAGAAGCACAAAGACACACGCACACACAGGCACGCGTACACACACACATAAATACACACGCACACGCACACACACTAATACTCACGCACACGCACATACACATAGGCGCACGTGCACACACAAGCGCACACACATAGGCACACACACATGCACACACACACACACAGGCACGCACACACACTAATACACACTGTCTTACTTAACCCTTCACTGACTGGAAACCTGCCAGGATGTCACTTTTACTTCTGAGTGCCTGACCTCTCTTTCTCAGAACACAGACATGCACACACAGACACAGACACGCATGGGCACAGTCACACACACACACACACACACACACACACACACAGGCGCGCATGCACATACATACACACGTACACAGGTGTGCACACACACACGCACACCAATACAGACAGACAGACACACAAAGCTGGTGAATGAGACATATTCGACACTTCCTGCACTGAAGAACCTTTTCCGCTACATTTCTGGTCGCCCTGCTATAGGAAGGATGTGATTAAATCAGACAGGATAAAAGATTGACAGGGATGTTACCAGGACTGGAGGGTTTGAGCTATTGGGTGTGGCTGGAAAGGCTGGGACTTTTCTCCTTAGAATGTTGGAGGCTGAGGGGTGACCTTATAGAGGTTAATAACATCATGAGGGTCATGGATAGGGTGAATAGACAAGGAGTTTTTCCCCAGGGTAGGGGGGAGTCTGAAACTAGAGGGGCATAGGTTTAAGGTGAGAGGGGAAAGATTTAAAAGGGACCTGAGGGGCAACTTTTTCCCACAGAGGGTGGTGCGTGTATGGAACGAGCTGCTAGAGGAAGTGGTGGAGGGTGGTACAATGACAACATTTAAAAAGTTGGGTACATGAATAGGAAGGGTTTAGAGGGATATGGGCCAAATGCTGGCAAATGGGACTGGATTAATTTAGGATATCTGGTCGGCATGGACGTGTTGGACTGAAGTGTCTGTTTCCGTGCTGTATGAGTCTGAGTTTGCACTGACCTACCTACACACATCCCACACTAGGCCCACGGCCTGGAATGTTATGACACTTCAAGAGCTCATCCATGTACTTTTTAAGGCCAGTGAGGTTTCTCTCCTCTAATACCCTCCCAGACAACACATTCCAGACCCACACCATCCTCTGGATGAAATTTCTTTTCTCAAATCCCCTCCAAACCTTTTTAACATAAAATTACAGCCCCGTGTTACAGCTGCTCTCTGTCTGCCCTGTCCATGCCCCTCATAATCTGATACACCTCTATCAGGTACCCCCCCACCAACCTCCTCTGATCCATACCATCACAGAGTTGTACAGACACAGAAACAGACCCTTCAGCCCAGCTCATCCATGCTGACCCATTATCCTGAATTAATCTAGTCCCATTTGCCAGCATTTGGCCCATATCGCTCTAAATCCTTCCTATTCATGTACCCACCCAGATGCCTTTTAAATGCTGTAATTGTACCAGCCTCCACCACTTCCTCTGGCAGCTCATTCCATACATGCACCACCCTCTGTGTGAAAAAGCTGCCCCTCAGGTCCCTTTTAAATCTTTCTCCTCTCACCTTAAACCTATGCTCCTCTAGTTTTGGAGCCCCCCTACAGTGGGGAATAGGCCTTGTCTACTCACCCTATCCATTCCCCTCATGATTCTATAAACCTCTATAAGGTCACCCCTCAGCCTCTGACGCTCCAGGGAAAATAGCCCCAGCCTATTCAGCCTCTCCCTGTAGCTCAAACCCTCCAACCCTGGCTACATCCTTGTAAATGTTTTCTGCACACTTTCCAATTCAACAACATCCTCCCTACAGCAGGGAGACCAGAATTGCACACAGTATTCCAAAAGACTGTAAAACACAGACGCAGAAATAGGCCGTTCAGCCCATCGAGTCAGCTCCACCATTCAATACTATCCGATCACCCTCGACTTCACTTTCCTGCCTTTTACCTACAAGAGGTTTCGGCTTTTGACAACAGGTCATCGTTTCAGGGCGGCATATTTAAAATCGGGATCATTTCTCTCAAATTTGGGGAGGGGGTGAACTTGTGGAACTCACTCCCTCCCAGAGTGTGCAGGGGGCAAGTGTGGGGGGTCACTGAATAAATTTTGGGAGGAGACGGACAGATATTTAATCAGTAACGGGTTAAAGGGAGTGGGGCAGGAAGGTGGTTTTGAAGCCGTGATGGGATCAGCCACGGTCGTGTTGAAAGGCAGAAGAGACCTGAGGGGCCGAATGGCCTGCTGCTGCTCCTAGCCCTTATGTTTCCTGAAGGCACCCTCCCAGGCAGAACTCCTGAGCCGGAGTCTCGCCCAGTTTTGTCGAATATCTGCACCCCCGCAACTGCCCCGGGCAAGTAATTACAATGAGGTGGTGGCCCTAATGGTATTGCTGCTGGATTGTTTATCCAGAGAGCCAGGTAATGTTTCGTTGACTTGTGGTTCAAATCCCGTGATGGCAGTTGGTGGAATTTGAACTCAATAAAAATCTGGAATTAAGAGCCTGATGATGACCACGAAACCGTTGTCGATTGTCAGAGAAATCCAAATGGTTCGTTCATTTAGGGAAGGAAACTGCTATCCTTACCTGGTCTGGGCCTATGTGTGACTCCTGACCCCACAGCAATGTGGTTGCCTCTTAACTGCCCTTTGGGCAATTAGGGATGGGGCAGTAAACACCCTCATCCTGTGACTGAATAAAAACAAAATGAGGAAATAAAACCCCAGGGGTGGGATTTCCAGTCCCATCGACCTTCCCTCACTGCCCCTAACACCTGAAGAGAGAAGCAAGGGCCTTCAAATCTAGGCTTCAGTGAGGCCTAGCAACCCCATCGAAGACCCCTCATCCACTTCCCAGCGTTCTCCAAATGTCCACTTTTTCTCCTCATTGCAGAGTTTACATTTTGGGGACGATCTGGATTCGGAGCCACCCTTTTGGACTTTTCTAGAAGCTTCTATCACTTGAAGGCCGGCTGGCTGTATTTTTTTTAATGTAAGATCTTGTCAGGGCCGCAGTGTTCAGGCGAGGAGAGAAGGGGAAGTGGTTGCTGTTCTCTAGAAAATAGCATCGTGGCCAGGATTAACCCAAATCATCACAGTTACTGTGTGCTCGCAAGACTAGATACGTAGGAAAGATGTTTCCATTTCAGGGGGGTGAGATTGAGGCTAATCTATCTGAAGGGTGACCCAGAGACAGTGGGGATGAATGGACGTGTGTTACCCCGTACCACAGTGAGAAAGGAGACTCTTGTTCCACCTCAGAGACATGTTGGGGGCAGCATTGTTCCAAAACAGACAACAACAACAACTTGCCTTTATGTAGCTCCATGTGTGTGTGTTGTGGGCCCCGCGGGGGGAAATATATGATGACAAACGATTTTGTCGATGAGATCCATGTTTTTAAAGACCTGCTTCCTTTTGTATCGCACACCAATCGTTGTGACTGTGTTTGCTGGTGAAACTGGTCTTTCTTTGGCGTCTGTTACCCCCACCCAAGGGGACACTGGGGCTGGGTCAGATTGTCCCTTGCCCGATGCCCAATCCCTTGCCCTCCCCCCGCACACATATAGTGCCCACTCTGGCGGGCGCAGGGAGCTGGTTTCTACATCTGCAAACAACCCCCCCAGCGCACATCCCCACTTTCCATCGACTTTGTGGCCTGTCAGGTGGAAGGAGTAGGTGGGGGAGGGGGGCGTTCCCTGCGGAGGGTGGGGGGAGAGAGAGAGAGAGAGAGAAAGCGCGGCATTGGGAGTGATTTAACGTGTGTTTTTTTTTTCTGCACTCCTACCGTTCTCCCCC